AGACTAGGATAATTGAGTCAAGTGAGTGGTAGTAGTAAAGTGCATGAATCTTTGTGAATTATAGCGTGTGTTTAAGTTAAAGTGAATGTGAAAATTCTGTGTATTACAAAGTTGTATTGAGAAAGAATAAACTAGTTTTATTTAAGAAAGGACTTGTATCGCTGAAGTTCCTTGGGAAGAATTTATACTGGAAATTAAAAACGATCAGAGACGTAACAATATTGTACTGTCTAATTATTACATTGATAGCTTTATAGGCTTTGTAAGTATTGAAGCCTATCTGTTACAGTGTGTGTGTGTGTGATGCTACCATGACAAGTGTTGCAATTTAACTCCATAGGAAAAAGCAGTTATTGTTTGTTAGAGCAAAGAAGTACTTTGACACAAGGCTAGATTGCTAGAATAATTAAGTTTAACCAGTTTACTGTGAGTCACTGGATGCAAAGATATAGAGAGACTGGCTGTGTGGATCAGCAGAATGGAAGGGGATAGGAAGAAATCAAGTTGAACACAGATGAGACTAGATGGTGTGCACAGCAAAAATGACCCCTGAAGTTCACTGCCATGCACTTTTGAGATCTATGGATTATAATCAACAATTCTGCTGGCTCATGCATTTCAGAACAGTTGCTTTGAAGCCACTTTGTTCTACATTGCTTCAGTCCAGTAAACAAGTTCTTTGGCCCAGTTGAGCCTCATCTTTCTCATCCTGTTAGTGAAAAGGGGTTTCATTCTTGGTCTCTTGCTGGGAGACCACCACTCCAGCAACTGAGAACTCGAAGTGGCAAGGACCCAATGCTCCAATAGAAGAAAGAAGGGAGAGAAATTCACATTGAGGGGCTCAGAGGAACAACCCACCAGAGACAGTGCAATGGGTGTCTGTGTGTCCCTATTTTGAAAAGCACAAAGACCTGAATTGTAAGAATCACGGGATAGTAGGGATGGGAAAATTCCCTATCTGCTTCACCAATGAAGTCCATGAGTGATGGTCCTGAGTATATATATATATATATATATTGATAAAAAAAGTGATATATAGATATAGACACACCATCACATAAGCAGCTGGTGGTCTTACGGCAACATCCCATCTCTACAGTGAGCATTATAGAAGTATACAGATATACTGTTAAGATGTAAAATTCATCATACCTGACCATGCAACACATGCCACCAGGTGGGATCTTGAAATATTATGTATAACAATAAAATATGATTTAAAAAATAATATGACGGCTTACCCTAATCAGAGGCGAACAGACGTGTATAGAATCATCATAGGAGAAGAAGATACCAACACAGCTATGTTGTGCAGAGAAAGAGTGGTGAATGTATAGGGAGTTGTCCACATACCAGCCTGAACAATCTTTTCCAAAAGACGGCAATGTCGAGCAGCTAAAGACTTAGTTAGATGACGAATTTGATGTGAAGAAACAATATGTAGATGGCAAACTGCCAGGGACACATCAAATTACGGCAGTCTTTGAGTTGACAAACCAAACCCATGAGCATAATAGGTGAAAGATCAGGGAAAACAGAGGAATGGAATGATTAGACAGGAATGAGAATAACAAAAGGAGGCAGTATGAGCCATACAATATAGCAAGGAATGAACTGGACAAAAGAGATGATCCAGAATCGAATGGGAATACAAGTGGGAAAAGGAAGGTAAGGCAAAAAGGATAAAAAGAAAAACAACTTTCCAAGGCAGGAGAAGTCCAGGAAGGAATGCCTGATCCAGATAATGAATAACACATGAGGAATGGTAAAGTATGGCATAAAAATGGGAATGACTATGACTGCATTCCAGGAGGGGGAGGATTTAGGTCTTATGAGAAAAAATGGTACAAGGAGCAAATTGCAATGGGTTCAAAGGGAGAACCAGACAGGACATGAAGAACAACATTGAAACCCCAATCCAGCAGAACAAAGGAATGTGTTGGAAAGACCAGGCAAAAGAAACGGAAAAACCCAGGGAAGAGTAAACTTTCTTGAAGTGAGAGAACGGAGGGTGTTCAACAAGGCAGCTTATAAAGAGCAACAGTTGAAACAGACAAACCTTGATCAAACAACCAGATGAAAAACTGGGACTGGTGAGGAACAGAAGTACAGGAGGTTTGGAAGCCATGGGAAATAGACCAAAGACAGAAGCAAGACCTATGCGTCTGTTACATCGAAAAAGTGTAAGGGCAAATGGTATAGGCAAGGAAAGATGCAACATGAGGGGTGAGTCCCTGAGCTGAGGCATGGGAGGGGACAGAAGTCACACAGAAAGATGGTGATGTCGGGATGAAAAATGTCAGAACATGGTTGACAGAGAAGCAAACAGGACAAAGAAAAGGACAGGGTCTGTTGCTCAAGTAAGGGCCAGAGCAGAGAGAACTACGTTGGAGTTGGCCAATCCTAAGCAACCAACAGAATACGACAAGGTAAAAGACCCAGAAGAGAAGTCCCTGAGATGAGGCACGTGACCAGATAAAAGTCACTTGGAAAGATGAAGTGTGGTGACATCAGGATGAAAAGAAAAACATCACATCGTGGTTGACTGAGGAGCAGAAAGGACAGAGGAAAGGGCAAGGTTTGTTGATCCAGTAAGGGCCAGAGCAGAGGGTACCATGTCTGAGTGGCCAATATGGAACAATCAGCAGAACACAACAAGGGGTGGTCTGAATAAGGGAAAAGACTCAGAAGATGAGTCAAATCAGAAGGTAGGCATCAGAGCTGGATTATCCACTAGACATTAAGGTACTGTGCCTTGGCCTAAAAAAAATGTTTAATCCCCCATGTGTATCATTGTTCAAGTTAAAACAGTTTATCAAATTTGGTCTAGTTCAGCTGACTAAATCTTAGTCAATTATAATATTCATATATCATATTTATTATCCTGGCAATTTATCTCTTATAGAGACAAAACTGCTATCTGTTTTACATAACATAGGTTACAGGTCATTAATTTTCATAGAACACATTTAGTGATTTTCGTAATTTGTATATTTCAACTTAGAACCCGTTATAGCCTCGTAAATATTTATTGAAACTATATAATTATACAATATTTATTTCAATCAATAAAAAGAAAATAATTTATTTGCTTTTATCAATCAATATTTACCAAATTTTAAAACAGTTTAATTACGTAGATGCTAAATTATATATTTAAAATAAGGTTTTTGACTTTTAATGTTTTATAAAATGTTTAATATAATTTTTAATAAGCATTACAAATATTTCATGCTAGATCATGCCGAGTATTGTCAGTATACAACTTTTTATCAGCATCTTCTCAGAGGTGGACAAAATTAATGGATAATTTGCCAAAGGTTCATGTGGTTAAAACGTTTCAAAAACTAGGTGGTCTGCATGCAGTGATGCAACCAAAGCATGTCTTTAACACTATGCAGAAATAAAACGTGCAGTCATAGACATAGCTCAATCAGTTAGACAAACAGCTGATGCAGTTATTGAGGCTGAATCTCTCAGAGACAAATTAGATGTTTTCGATACAGCCTTGATGTGTGTCCCTTTGAATGATATTTTGGGAACTATGAACCAAATGAATAAATATCTGCAAGATCCAGGAATTGATATTTGCTCCATAGTGCAGCACTATGATGTCCTATATGCTTACCTACAGTAATAGATAGACGATGAACAATTCATTTCATTTGAAGAAAAGGCAGAATCTATGGTATCTTCTACTGAATATGCTCACACCAGCACAAGTAAAAAGAGTTAAACAGAGAAAGCAGATGGCTGATGAAGGAGCTTCTGAAAGTGTGGTGAGAACTGGGAGAGAGAAGTTTCACGTCAATACATACTTGGTGATCATCGATAAACTTCTTGAAATTAACAAGCAAAGACAAGCCTACACCAAAATCATGGATAAGTTTAGATTCCTTGTAAAGCATAATCAACTGACTGAAATCATAGCATGTCACAAAGCACAAGAATTGGTTACAACATACCAAGTTGACTTGGAAGATGAATTGGTGGATGAATTCAGAGTATTTATGAAGTATGATGATGATTTTACATGTTTCCAAACTTCTGCAAATATGATTAAGTTCATGTTGTAGCATAAAATTACCAACACATTTCCAAATGTTTACATCAGGTTGTCCATATATCTAAGCATTTTGGGTAAATATTGTGTGGGAGAATGATCATTTTCAACATTACAACATGTCAAAAGTTGCCTTTGCTCAATGATGGGGCGAACTTGCTTGTCATCACTTGCTCTACTTGCTATTGAAGCAGACATGACACACTCTCTCAACTTTAGTGATATTATATCGAGATTTGCTCACCATAAATCACGAAAAGTTAAACTGTGAGAGAAACCATTTGTTTCTATGTTACATGCAATTGTATACATATGGTACTAGAAATAATTAAATTTAAATATAGTTGTGATTCTTTGGTTTGAATATATTTTATAAAAACATGCTTTTTTCTTATGTCCTGTGGCCTATAATAAGATTATACAATTGTAAATAATACGTATTTGTATTTTTTGAATAAAGAGTATTGAAATAAAATTGAAATGAAATATATGATAGTATAAGAATAACAATTCAATCTAGCATGTGCCTTGGCCAATGAAACCTTTAATCTGGCCCTAGTAGGCATACAGGTGAAGACCCCTCCAATCTTGACTGAAAGCATCAATCAGAGCTGAGGGGTAAGGAAAAGGAGTCCAAAAATGAAGAAAGTTTGGCACAACACAGACATATATGTGATTTCCCCTTTCGAAAAATCTACCCTAAATAATATGCAAATAAAAAGGCACCCAGTTAAAAAAACAAAGTTTGACTCAATACCTATCTCCAATTAGATGTGACTAGTAGTAATGAAAAAAGAACTTCCAACTAAATAGCATTAACAATGAGAAAAAAAAATACAATCTTAAACGAAATTAAAGAAAGAAACAAACTCCAAAAGCAAGTTTTAAACTAAAGTAACCTAGATGGTAAAAGAAGTATATAATTCGAAATTACCAAACACTGAGCAGAGAAAAGATGAGTGACGTAGATTATTGAGTGAGGAAATCAAATCCATCCATACAAGCTCACAGAACAAGGGTATATCTATGGAAAGTGAGAAATACACACTTAAAAACTTACCACAGATCTCCTAGGAAAAAGACAATACCTAATTTGAAAGGCAAAAAATCGCTGGATGAACGTAAGACACAAATTCCCGCTAACTAAAACCTGTGCCTCCCTAGTAGACATCGTCGATCCTGAGACTGGGGATTAGTGTTAGAACTATTGTCTACTTATGGCGGGAAAATTAACATCTGCCATATTAGATCTCAAATTCATATGAACAAATGAGAATTCGGGAAACACAAACTTTTCAAAAACAAACGAGTATAGAAACAATGGAAATCAAACACAAGAAGTTGAAACAGATATTAAATGGTGATCGAGCACAATCAAAATTTTGCATTCAGATGGGGAACGAATTAAAACACACGTCTATACTAGAATGCTAATCGAGAAAATGCTGCAATGGTAGAGCCTGTGCTAGTATAGGGGGCACAATAGGATTGGTGGAGTATAGTCACATGATCAGCACGTGTTGCTGCAATGATGCAAAAATATAGGGGTATGTAAAAGACTGGTGTGCTTTTTGAAATTTTAGCAATGCTTAGAGGGAAAATGAAGGTCGAGATAGCTATGTGTTGTGCAAGTGGACTCATATTTTTGTCATCCAAACACATATATGCATCTTTATTAACACATCAACCGTGACTAACACGTTATAGTAGATGATCAACAAATACTTCACAAATATGAAAATGTTCTCTGGGTAAACAAAATCTAAATTTAAAGGTAATGCCACTAATTAATGGACAAAAGTGATCACAGAGTCTGTTTCTTGTTTTAATATCTCATTGTGCCCCCTCTGCTTAGATAAATGCTTGACATCGCCATGGCATAGAATGCACAAGGGACTAAATGTAGGTAGGGGTGAGTTCATGATGCCACATGCAGATTAAGATTTTCTGCAGTTCCAAGATGCTTCTCTGTTTCTTCTCTTACACTTTGTTATCCATTACCTTCCAGCAATTTTCTAGTGTTGGAACCTAAACTATTGTCTGGCCAGTGTAGTGTTTTGACCTTCTCCTTCAAACATAGTCCTTCACCTGAAGCAATGAAAAAACATGTCTTTTCAATACACGTAGAGTGAAATTTCCTCTTCATTTTACATCTACCGTATAAAGTGCACAAATATTACAAATCTTTTTTTACACCCTGTGGCATGGAGGAAAGTCATCCTGCAATGTGCACTGGTCAGCTCCACTGAAGTGATACTGAATTGTTGGTTTTAAGTGGGACTTGAGGATCTCAATGTATTTGTTGACACCAACAGTGCCTTACACAAAATGCAGGTGTCCTACACTCTGGCCAGAGATGCATCCTCACATCACCTGGCCCTGTGTATGCTTCACAGTTGGATTCAAACATGCTGGATGAAACTCTTCTTCACATCACTTTGTACAAAGTGTTTCCCATCAGACCCATGTAGGCTGAGAAGATAGGTTTCCTCACGATTTGTGGGATTTATACAATAACACAGTCTCATTGTCATATGTACTCACTTGATGAGAAGAAGACTGTTGTCATTATGCTTCATATTCTACAAATCATAGCGATTCACAATCTCAATAACTTTGCTCTCTACAAGTGCAAAACACACACTTTACGGCTCACTAGCTCGAAACTAACAGAATCATAAATTACACGGATCTCAAAGTAACTACTACTCTCTCTTCATTCATCCCTGCTGGCTTTCTCTGCCAGGCTTATATACTAACACATCTCGAACACACTCGGACTTCCCCAATATTCGAGAAACTCATCGCGCACGCTACCAGCACCAACAGCATCACACGCCTTCCACTGTCATAACAGTATATAAAGTGAAGTAAGAAGGAATTTGTGGTTTCATGAGTAAGTGACTGGATGTAGCTCTTTCAGAGAAGGACAACAGAATGCAACATGAAGGTTAGAAAATTTTGGAACAAACCAAAGATGCAAGAATTTTTAACAGGTTCTTTAGGTGCTTTTTTAATTGCAGAAAATGTTTTGTGTTAAATTGTGTTTGTTTGAAAGTTAGTGCAACTTTCTTCCTTTCTTCTGTGACAAAATATCACTTAAGCCTTGTTAATGTTAGGTTTAGATAGTATGATAGTGACAGCACTTATTACATTTATTAAAATCGTTATTTGTTTAATGTTGTTTTTAAGTTTTTCATATTCAAACAATGCATATAAAAAATAATAATAATAATTTATTTAAATCAAAATATATTTATTATACATAAATTGATTTTGACCAAGACTGTTGTTAGCAAAAATACTGTTACCTGACACCATTTTGAAAGGTCAGGTCTTTAAATCACTGATAAAGTTTTATTAGTTTATGTGGTTTTTATATGTATAGCCAGAAGTAATGACTAGTACTTCAATTGGGAAAATAAAGTTTTAAGAGAAATACATTAATAAAAGTCAATCAAATATAAATTGACTGGATATATGAAATGAAACTTTTTGATCAACAATAAAAATAAACTAATTACATTCTAAGAGGAAAAGCAAGTATCTTGAATGGATTTTTTTTCATATGTGTCTCACAACAAACTTTTTTAAATTTCACAAGATAAGAATTGATAGAAAAACTAAATAAAATTATCTGAATTTGTTTAAGGTGACACTGGATACTATTTACTTGTCATGCACTTTGGTTAAGTATTTCCATTGTAAGATGAGGACAAAATCTAGAAATATTAGAAAACCATTCTGTTTAGAAGTTAACATTCTCTAACACTGAAAATGTATTTCTAATAGGTACTTACCTCCTCTAACCCATAGCTATCTCGAACTTCATTTACCTTCTAAGCATTGCTAATATTTTGAACAGCACACCACTCTTTTATACCCCTATATTTTTGCATCATTGCAGCAAAATGTGCTGATCATGTGACTACCCTCCACCAATCCATTTGCACCCCCTATACTAGCACAATTCTCACTTCCGAGAATTGGCATATACAAACCTGAAACACTGGCAAATCAGTGGAAAGGAAGGATGGGAAGTGGGTGTGAGGAGGTAAGTACCTATCAGAAATACATTTTCAGTATTAGAAAATGTTAACTTCTGAAACGGTACTACCTCGTCTCACCCATAGCTAGAATCCCACATTGGAAAGATGGAGGGGCCAAAGTGAAGTTGCAAAAACGATTAATCAAGCAAAAAATGAACGGCATGAAAAAAGCAAATAAAATAGGAGGCACACCTGTAGGGTATAGCACTATGCCTGGAACAGGTATGCCCTTCACCTTGTAAAGAAGAAAAGAAGATACATAGGGTGGAATCAAATAGAATACGTGGCTAGAGCTAGAGGACCGTATATGAACAGGCTAAGTGCAGTCCACCCAGGCAGAAAATATCCAGGAGAAGTGCCTTGGGATACAACGTATTATGTCAAGTGTGATCCAAAGGACAAAAACAACATGGAAGCTCCTTGCATAAATTTGTAAAATCAACAAGTGCAGTCCAGGGAAAGTGCCTTAGATTTATATCAAGATAGCCAAGTAAAGTCCACCCAGGCAAAAAAATCCAGAGAAAGCACCTTGGTTTACATTGGATTATGTCAAGTACAGCCCATCTGGTCAGAAGACATCCAGTAGAAGCACATTGCATAAGATAGTAAATAGCATAACTTGTACTAAAAAGTTGTTAAGTTTAAAGTGACGAGAAACATACTGATTGTGGAACTACTGTGTGCTAAAAGTTTGTATCGAGGAAGAATAAACTGGTTTAATGAAGAAAGGACTTGTATCGCTGAAGATCCTCGGAAATAATTTCTATT